CGCTCATGGCCGCGGCCGACGCCTGCTTCTGCCTGGACAACGAGGCGCTGCACGGGCTGTGCCGGCGCGCGCTGCGCCTGGCCGCGCCGCGCTACGGCGACCTCAACGGGCTGGTGTCGCGGGCCATGAGCGGCGTGACCACGTCCCTGCGCTTCCCGGGCCAGCTCAACGCCGACCTGCGCAAGCTGGCCGTCAACATGGTGCCCTTCCCGCGCCTGCACTTCTTCGCGCCCGCCGTGGTGCCGCTTGCCGCGCCCGGCCCGCAGCAGCCCGCGCTCTCCGTGGCCGAGCTCACCCGGGAGATGTTCGACGGCCGCAGCGCCATGGCCGCCTGCGACCCCCGCCGCGGCCGCTACCTGACCGTGGCCTGCGTCTTCCGGGGCCGCGTGTCCACGCGGGAGGTGGAGCGGCAGCTGCTCGCCGCGCAGAGCCGCCACAGCGACCGCTTCGTGGACTGGATCCCCAACAACGTCAAGGTGGCCGTCTGCGACGTCCCGCCCCGGGGCCTCGACGTGGCGGCCACCTTCATGGGCAATAGCACGGCCATCCAGGAGCTCTTCGCCGGGGTCCTGGAGCGCTTCTCGGCCATGTTCCGAAGGCGCGCCTTCGTGCACTGGTACACCAGTGAGGGCATGGACGTCGCCGAGTTCGAGGAGGCCGAGAGCGAGGTCCAGGACCTGGTGTCCGAGTACCAGCAGTTCCAGGAGGCCCGGGGCCTCCCCGAGGAGGACGAGGGCGGGGAGGAGGCAGAGCCGGAAGCCGAGGAGGAGGAGCAGGAGCCCGGGGACGCGCGGTGAGGGCCGACCCGGCGGGGCGGGCGCTCCTCCGGCCTCACGGAGCCGGGGCGGCGCGGGTGGCTGGTGGTGCCCTGCGTCTCCACGCGCTGCCGTCACTGCCCTGGAGGGTGGATAGTCCGTGTGCGTTCTCAAGGCGCGCGTGCGTGTGCGCGCGTGTGCTGGTACTAGGCACGAACTGAAGGCCTGGGCGCTGTCCCTTTGCTCTTTCTCTCAAGGATGGCGCTCTACCACTTGGACCATAGCTCCACTTTCGGCTTTTTGTGGCTAATTAAAGCTAGTCTCGCGGACTTCGCCAACTTCGCTGCCTGGACTGGCTTCAACTGCCATTCTCAGATGGTAGCCACTTTTTAGCTGCGATTACAGGCGTGGTAAACAGCAAGGTGCTTTGCCTCGAAGCCCTGCCTCTGTTCCAGTGTTAGGCACACCTGAACACCTTGGAACATCCTGAACACCTACTCTGGGCCAGGCACCCACAGGTGAGGGTTGATCTTCAGCCCTAAGCTAGCAGCATTGCCCAGGACTCTAACCCCTATTACCTTTGACACAAATATATCCTGCTTTCCTGGGCTGGAGGGCTTTCAGCAGAGCCAAGTGGCCAAGGCGCAAATGGGGAAGTCCAGGGCCAGGAGGAACCAGTCAGCACCCCTGGGAAACTGCAGGCCTTGAGAACATCTCAACACACTAACTGGGAAGGGAAAGAAGGAGCAAAGAAAAGCCATGGTTCTTTCCACATTGCCACTCTAACCAAAAAACAACTAAAAGCACTCCAATCCTGTCTGATCTGATCTGTATTTCCATTAAGTAGCTGTCAACATATAGTGAAAATTTCTTATTAGTACTAGATTCCTGGAATTCATTAGCAGTCATCTTTGGTCTCCCTTTTCAAGGTGATGTCCAAGTACCCTTTTCGAGTCCATCTCATAATCCTCTGCCCTCTGGGCGCATCACACCCCCCACAACCATTCAAATGCAGGGATTAGGCAGAAATGGCCATAGTGCCCTTCTTGGTGACAGAGGGAACTGTCTCATTAGGGAACTTTGAGTTCAAATTAACTTGCAGAAATTGCCATAATGTTTGCATGATGACACAGCTTTACCCATCACACAATTATTTTAATCTGCTCACATTACAAGACTACATACACAAAAGTCTCGCCATCAAATGGGCTATAACTTAATTGGTTTACCTACTTCTGACATGAGGTCTACCAGTAGTTCCAGGACCAGAAGGGTCTTAATGGTCATGCAGAATTAGCAGTGGTGCTGGACTATTTGATCCATGGATAAGTGGTAGGGGAAAAGGCTCTACCCTTCTCTTCAGGAAATATGTATTGGACCCTCGTCTTCAGCAACACAGTAGCAGGGAGATGGACAGAATCATCATTCTGAGAAGCTTTACTCTCCTGTGATAACTAATAAATTCACTATATTAACTAACAAACTAATAATTACTTCAAAAACAGGCTAGCTTTGCTGCTGGTCTCACTGATAAGCTTCTATTTGCAAAACTAAAACAATGTGAAACATTTTAAACACTTTGTGGTTGTATGTGAGAAGCACTAGCTTCAGGAAGAACTACACTATATATTCCTAAACTTGAGTTAATAACTTCCTCAGGTTCTAAAAACTTACAGCCTCTTACAGTAAGAACTTCTCTACATGCTTTCTTTCTCAGATCTAAAAGGGCAGTATATTATGGTAAAGATTTTGCTTGCTCAGTAGTAATCATTAAAATACAAAGAAATCCAACTGTAAATTAAAGTGCTTTATTTCAGATCAAGTAAAATCCTTTTCTTGGAGCCTACTACCCATACCCAGACTGATTAATTTGAGTCATTAGAAATATTTAAAAGTACATCTCACCAACCTACTCTTTCCTATGATACAAGCAGAGTAAATCAACAAGCTAGACACCAAGAGAAATCTTTCCCTCCTGACTTTTGAAGAGCTTAATCTGTTAGTGGCATGGTTGTCATGGCAACACTGTCTTCCCATGAAGACCAGCCATAACATTTTAGTCTGTCTGATTTCTTCACTTTGCACCGGAGGACCTGGCACCTCCTCTCTCTCAGCCATCACCTAGCCAGGCAGTGCAGTGCCCACACCAGTCCACGGGGTCTCCTCGTTGCTTGGGCAGTGGCCCCACTACCTCACAGCAGCGGGCTCAGGAAGTTTATCACAGGATTGATGCAGGATTTGATTTTTCTTTTGGGCCGGTCCTGGGGCTTGAACTCAGGGCCTGAGCTTCTTTTTGCTCAAGGCTAGCACTCTACCACTAAAAAAAAAAAGGCCACTTCTGGCCTTTTCTGTTTATGTGGTGTTGAGGAACTGAACCCAGGGCTTCATGCATGCTAGGCAAGCACTGTAGCACTAGGCCACATTCCCAGCCCCATAGTTACAATCTTTGAAGAGTAAAATCTTTTACTAGCCTTTCCCCTACCCAAAGTCTCCACTCTTATGGCTAATCATTCAGCTTTTTACCTGTTACTTTGTTTCGTATTAAGAGGCTCTACAAACCTGCAGCTTTACTTCTACCCCTGTGATGGAAGGTGCTGCCTGGGACCTTTCCTGCTTCTCACCTGCTGCTGTGGGACCCTGCTGATTCTGTGTGTGTGCCCTGTCAGAATTTAATAAAACAGGTCAGGGTTAGACATGTGGCTCAGATAGGAGAACACCAGCTAGTGAGTGAAAGTGTTAAGATACTGAGTTCAAGCAACCATCTTAGAGAAAAAAAACGAAAACAAAAACATGTAGGTCAAATGTAAGGGGTAGGAAGTCATCCCAGAAGCTGAAAACACAGGCATTTTCAACTTGTCCTTGCTCCTGATCAGACAACAGTGAGCTTAACTACCACATGGTGAAAACTGTCATAGAAATGTTCCAAAATTTCCTCTTCCAATTTATTGCTGTACTCTCCCAAAAGCTAAATTGTACAACCTACTTTGAAATGAAATGGCTTTATTTGGCCAAGTAGCTCCAAGTTTCATAGGAAGATAAAAAAACAAGACATAATTCTTCCTCCCTAGACATTCAATGAATAAGTGAATGACCGCACAAACACCATAAAACTTGTAATTATCATATCTCAGACTTGCGGTGGAGAATCTGATTTTTAATTTTAGCTGGGCCACCAACTCAATATGCAAGTATTGAACAGCCTTGCCTCATTTCCTGAGAAACGGCACCAGAAAATGAAGACCCATTATTAAAGTGTGAAAGGCATTTGTGTTGAGATTCTAACATTAATGGTTCTTACTGATTTTTGTGTGCAGTGTAAAATGAGTACTTGTTCTCATATTCTCACCAAGTGATGGCTTACACTTGGTCACAGCTGTGCAGCACTACTTGGAGACACGGCTGTCCAGACAAGGACAAGGCAGGCAGATGAGACAGAGCTACTGTTCTGTGCAATTCAGAGACCAGGGACAACAGGGCCTCAAGGACAGCGCCAATTAATGGTGCCAAGGCAGAACTGCTACTTTGAGATAAAGTGATGTTCTTGTAATCCATTTGGCCATTAAATGTTACAGATCCCTCTTCCCATCCTTTCCCTTCTTTTTGGATGTACTGGGGCTTGAACTCAGGCCACTCAGGCCTCTGCACCTAATAGGCTGGCCCTCTACCACTGGAGGTATAACTCCAGTCCTAGTTTTCCCTCTTTTAAGAAGTCTTGGTTCAGAAGCATACAAGTGGTACAGATAGCTCCTTTAAAAAGTCCCAACAGGGTTGGGAAGGTGGCTCGGTGGTAGAGTGCTTGCTTTACATGCATAAGGCCCTGGGTTCGATTCTTCAGCACCACATAAACAGAAAAAGCTGGAAGTGGTGCTGTGGCTCAAGTGGTAGAGCGCTAGCCTTGAGCTGAAGAGCTCAGGGACAGCGCCCAGGCCCAGAGTTTGAGCCCCACAACCAAAAAAAAGGCTCAATAGAGCTGGGTAGCCGGGTGCTGGTGGCTCACGGCTATCATCCTAGCTACTCAGGAGGCTGAGATCTGAGGCTCACAGTTGAAAGCCAGCTGGGCAGAAAAGTCTGTGAGACTCTTATTCCAATTAACTACCAGAAAACTGGAAGTGGCACTGTGGCTCAAGTGGTAGAGCACTTGCCTTGAGATGAAGAGCTGAGGGACAGCACCCAGGCCCTGAGTTCAAGTCCCAAGACTGACCCCCCCCCCAAAAAAAAGTCTCAACAGAAACCAAAAATCAACAGTAATGGTGAACCATGAAGGAATTTATTGACATTGTCAATTTACGAACAAGAGTTATTTTTCTCCCATGAAGTGAGGAAATTTCAATCTGCCATAACATGTGCCCATAAGTCTTCACCTTGAAAAGTAGTGTTTCATGCTTTAATCAGGTTCTAGGAGGAAAAAAGAAAAGGCAACAGTTGCTAGCCATTCTTCTAGTTTCCTTAAACATCTGTCAAGAGCAGGACAACTTCCTTAGAGTGAGCTGCAATCTAACTGTGGCTGCGAGTCACTGGGGAGGAGGTGAGCCTTGGCCACTGTAGGAGTGCATAGCTTTAGAAGAACAGGCACTTTCCTGTTGAGTAAAACCATTCCTACGAAGACAGAAAGACCAAGTCTCCCTGTGCTAATGGAGTGGGGTCCCCACTGTTGCAGACATATGGAGCAGGGCTAAGGTTTTATCTGCAGGAGGGAGGGGACTGTGATTTTCCACCCCAAGGCCCTGGCAAAGTGAACAGCAGCCCAGCGCAGGTGCTGCTGCAGATAGACTCAAGAGACATTGCTCTCACTTAGCTTACTGTTGAAACTGAAGAACCCGCCATAAAACCAGACCTCCTTATTCCAAATTATGAGACCAGACAGAGAGCACCGAGAAAAAGGGCTAAATTCAAAACACCATATCTTCAGGCTTGTAATAAAATATTTACTAATTCAGAATGAAAACAAAAAGTGCTTATGGGAGACAATTCCAATAAATAAAACTGCTCATAACCATAAGCTGCCAGAAGATTAATATTTATCACATTACAGTGATGCTGCAGGTCTGAAGCTTTTAAAGAGCAAAACAGGAAAATTAAACCTGAAAAACATCTCTGGTAATTTGCCTTGCTTATCTTTGAAATAACAGTGTCAAGAAAGGAGCTGGGAGGTCACATTTAGAGCACAAATGTCTAAATTTACCAATTGTACATAACTGTCATTTTACTGCATGACAATGTAACTTTACATCACCAACATCTCTGCAGAACTAAAATGAACCCAACGCTCTTGAAGCACAATCAGTTCAGTAACACAGCATTCACTGCAGGGTCTGGCAGATCTTACCGCCTGATAGAATAGCAGGACCCTTGCCTGTACTTCGCGCCCTTATGTTCCAGAAGAGCTGATTTGTGAGGACATTAGCAGATGTGGGGAAAATAAAAACACACACAAAAAACTATTTTTTTCATGCTTCTGAATGGTTATGTAACTTCAGCAGCAATTACCAAAGTGAAGAGTTTATCCTCCTAATTATTTGATTTTGGGCAGACAAATGAAACAGGTTCAATTAAAATAAGACAGCTCTCTACCTAAGCATTGCTAAATGAACTGAAAATCAATGTGCCAATTATTTTTGCTTGTTAGGGATAGAAAGGACTTTCTTTTATCATGCCTTAGCACTTCTGTCACTGGAGTGCCTTGAATTATTACCTCTATAGCTTAACTTCAGAACCACTGATTGATGAAAACACAGGCAGAACCTCAAACTAACATTACTTTGGTTTTTATGGTGCTTTAAAATTTAAGGTACAATTCTTCTAAATAAATCAGTAACTTACTCATTATTCCTTCTTCACTTTCACAATTTTTATGTTGCTGCCAGCTGTCTTCTCAGCATTTGCTTTGAACTCTGTCTTTAGTGCATCCCTCACGGCTTTTGCACAGATCTGGGAGTACCGGATGTAGCTGAGAAAAACAAGAGAGAATAGAGTTAATTACCAAGTACCCATCAGATGGTTCTATTATTGTTCTTTTACTTTTCTTTTTACACTTTTAGTTTGCTTGTATGAAATTGTAGAATCAGATTTAAGCGTGAAAAAATGCCCAAGAGAATCTAAACAAAGAAAAACATTAGAATGTCCAAGTATTAATTGGTGTTTGGGAAGGTAATCATGATTTTCTTTTGTAGTATGTCTTATCTTTTCAAGGCATATTAAAAATAAAAGGATACATTAAAAAAAACAAAAAACAAAAAACAAAAACCACCCCAAATTCACAGCTCAGGAGACAAGACCAAAATGTTCAGGAGGCTTTAACATAAATGAATTCTTCTCATTTCTCTACTTCATCCCCCCCCCCCCTTTATTCTATTCTTATGAGGTAAGGTTAAATATAATTAGAAGAGGAAAAAAAAACTGTTGAATTAATCACTTCTCTTTGACAAACAGTTTAAAGGATTTTCTGGGATATTGGACTTTGTCTTATAAATCTGTTACCGTAAACACTTCCTAATCAAGGTTTCTAAATGAAGCTAAAAAGGCCCAGGAGAACATCAATTCTAGCATAATACCCAAACGCTTCCTGTTTGGTACATGGACTTCCATCAACATCTTATTTCCCTGAAAGATGTCAGACCACTTTTCACACTTTTTGAAAACAGGAAGAAGGGAGGGATGTCTATTTCTCATGTTTGACAATTTGTTTTTGGGAGTCAGAGGTAAGGGTTCCAAGGCCGGTATCCACTCCTAACTGGGTGACCTTCAGGCTGTTCAACCTTTGCAGCTTGTTTATTCACCTGTAAAAACAACAGAGTAAGGGGATAACAAGATGTGCCCAGTAGGTGTCTGGGAAGAGGACCCAGAAGCGTGAAAATGCCCGGATACCATTACAGAGGGCTTAACAATTATGTGTATTATTGGCACGATCATCTAAGTCACAAACTTTTTGCTTGTCCTCAGCACGTGGGCAGCTCGGGGGCGGTGGTTCAAGCCTGCAGACAGGAAGGTCTGCACCATTCGGCCTCTAACGAGGGGTGCCGCCTGGGCAGATAAACGGGTCCCCTGCAGGGCTTGCACCCATTTTTGCGATAAGGAAGTGCGAGGCGAATGAGAATTAATGAACGAGGAAACTATAATGTAAGAATCCTCATCAAAGACTCGGCCTCCACGTTTGGGTCAAAAGGCCCAGTGCCACCAGTGGCCGGCTCGGGCGGCCGGGCCCCTCCGTGTCCCGAGTCAGGTGTGTGGTGCTGTCACGTTAGGATGCGGAACTCAAGATCACGAGCGCCGGTGGCTTCGCTGGCAGCGGAGGCCCGTGACCCCGTGACCCCGAAGCCGGTGCACCTTGGCCGTGGCGACGCCATCTTGGCGGCGGCACCCGAGCCCCGGGGAGGCCCGCGGGTGGCGGGTCCGGCCTGCGCAGGCCCGACCCGCCGCGCCCGGGCGCGCTGCCCTCGGGAGGCTCAGGCCTACCTGAGTCCAGCCTGTCGCCAGTACGCCACCATGATGTCCTGAGGGCGAGGCGCGTCGGGTCGAATCGCAGAACGGCAGCGCCGGGATCAGCGGGGCGGTCCAACTGCCGGAAGCTCGGGCCTGGGGAGCGGAAGGGGCGGAGCGCGCGGACATACCAGTCGGAGCGTCTCGCTCTGCCCGACCCCCCCCCCCCCCCCCCAGCCAGGGGGCGGGGCGTGGCTTGGGGCTCGGCCCGCGTCCGGGCGGAGCTGCCCTGCGCCTCCGTGGCCTGAACCGCGCGGCTTCCCGTAGCGCCCCGCGGAGAGGCCCGGCCGGAAGCGCCGCTTGGCGGCCTGGGCGGCGCCCGGCGCCCACGTGGAGGCCGCGCCGCCCCGCGCCGGGGTCCCACCGGCCCCCCTGGAGTAGGAGGTGGAAGTCCGGAGAGGGCTTCTCACCGACCGGAAAGGGCTGGCACCCGGCGCGGCGGGCCCGGCCACGCCCCGGGCCGCGGCGAGGATGGGGGAGGCAGCGAGGGGCTGAGCGTTGGCGGCGGCAGCCCGCGCGGAGACGGGACGGGCCGAGGCCGGACCCGGAGGCCGGGAGGCCGGACCCGGAGGCCGGGAGGCGGCCGCGCCTTTCCCGAGCAGGCACAATTCACAGAAACTGTACAAGCCATCTCTTAAAACTCTATTTAGGCAATATTTTATTTAGATGAAATGTTAGTTCATTGGTAAAATCCATCACAGGTTACAAAAGTAATCAGCAATCTTACCGGGCTTAATCTCTTACAAATACCTAAGAGTTCTTAAGCTAAGCATTATTTTAAGTAGAAAAATACTAATGTTAAAAAGGTTTGGGATATTGTTTCTGTGGTTTTTGTTCATATATGAATTAGTCTATAGGAAACCCGACTAGAAGTTGATCGGTTAAGTCCTGTAAAATAAAAGGAAAAGCTAATCACCTTTTAACAAAAAGTGTATGCAACAATTATAAGTATCAAAGACACCGTTTAGTGGTTGATAATTGGTAGCTACAAAAGACAAAATGAAACACATGTACTGATTTCCACTGGACACCCACTCTTGGTGTCCGTCTAAAGTAAGGATTCGCTGCACTGACCCTGCGGTGCCATCCACTCACCCACTTGATGACTATGGTCACAGTTCTCTCTCTCTCTCCCCACGCCCCCTCGCTCTGCAGTTGGCACCATGTTATTAAAACATGAAGTACCGGAATTTATGCTTCAGATCAAGACATCATTTGAGTAATTTCAAATGATGTACAGCTCTTCATGTAAAAAAAGATGTTTTGTGGTCACAATTACCTCAAAAAGTAATTATATTCAAATAACCTGACATATCATGCCTTAGCAATTACAAAACCATGATTATGACACATGGCAATTTATAAGTTAGGCAAATGAGAGATGCTAGGAGACGTGAAGAGCTGTTCTGTTTTAAGAGTGCTGCAAACTCAGGCAACGACTTTTATTTTTTTCAGTTAATATAACCAGCCCACGGCACAGCATGCTAAGTCATAAAGTACAAGGCCAAGGAAGGCAATACCTTTACTAAGTTACAAAACTTTGGCAAATCAATACAGTACTCTTTAATACAATAAAGTAATATTGTTAGAGCCATATTACTTTAGTGCTAATTTTCACTCCAAAAATATCATTTAAATACCAAACCAAAACACTGTGGTTTTTAGCAGAGCATGTTACTTTATATAAATGAATGTCTTTTAAAACTATACAGTTTCTCCTTTTGAAGTGAGTTTCCTCCTGCAGGCCACAGTGGTTCGTGCATGGCAGCTGTGGGCGTGTAGGGTGGCAAGGCTCGGCTCTGCCCTGGGGTTGGTCCAGTGCCAGGATGAGCTCCAATGTCTGAAAAGCTGTAGAATCTCTTTAAGCAGAGTCAGTGTCAATACCAAATACTTAAAGACTTAAATTTCCCCGTAAATACTGGAACTCTCAAAATCCAGGCAGTCATTCCCATCACTTAGAAGCCCTGCGTTTCTTTGTTTGGATCAGAAGTCACACAGCCTTACTCCATCCAGCTCATTTGAAAAAAAGTTCTGCCTAAAATAGTTGTATGTTTTTTAAATAACAAATAAATATGCGGTCAGCTTGGAGGCCCCGGGCCCCGGTGCTGTGGACAAGGCTCATTGTCATTTCTCCACAAAGGCCGCCGCCGCCATCGGGGTCCTCACGCTTCCTCTGGCCGAAGCTGCCAGTTCTTCAATCTCAGCATTCAATTTGTGTATTACCCATTCCATTGCTTCTCGGCCCTTTAAAATCCAACACAGTGATGGTTAGGGAGGAAGAGCAAAGGTGTGTATGACATAAATGACACACCAGGAAGTCCCAGGTAGCTCTGGGCACAAAGAAACCTCAGGAGGGCCTACAGATCCCTTTTGTTCTTTCTCTTGTCTTATATTATTTACCAAATATCAAATGGCTTGATCCATAAACTGATTTTTATTTTGTATGCAAAAGACGTTCTTAAAAGCATCTACAATTAAATGACAGGATGTCTTATTATTTCATTATAAAAGTGGTCAGACTCCTTTTCTTTTGATGTCTACGTTGTAAAATAAAACTATGGGCAAGTCTCTGAAGGACTTGGTCCCTGACTCTATGCTCACCCCTCCTTCCTGACGCTTCTGTTTGAGGGCCCTTGCACAGGCCGTTCCTCCTCCTGAAGGCTTTTCCTGGTATAATCCTTACAATCCACCCTCTCCCCCTTCAAGTACTCACAGACTTCAAGTATCACACACCAAGCATTAAGCACTGTAGCTGCCTACAGTTTTCCTCTCCTAAGGACTTCTTGTGATTATTGTGTCCTTCCTTAGTTCTCCAAGGAAGGGATACTTGTGTTTTGCTCCTACACTCCCCAGTCTAGCCTAGTACTCTGCCTGACACAGAGAACAGTATCCATGAATATCCTTGACTCACCACAGCAGACATGGCGAAAACCAGCCCACTGGACATCTCTTTCCCTACATTTTTTCTTTTTGTGCTGGTCCTGGGGATTCAGCCCAGGGCACTGTCCCCGAGCTTCTTTGCTCAAGGCTCGCACTATACCACAAGCCACATTCCCGGTCCTTTGCTTGTTTTAATTCATGCTTGGTCAATGGGAGCGATTTCTCAATGGGCAAAAATTGCTTCTTGAGGAAACGGGAAGTGTGACTCGGAAAGCAAATGTCACCAGGATAGTGGCTAGAAGCAGACATGCGAGGAAATGGCGTTTCAAACAAGGGTTCACAGGTACGCATCGCCAGGCACGTCCTCCACACTGGGCCCTGAGACACAGGCTGTCACGTGTTACCTCACTTCCATCGTCCTCTGGCATGGATGGGGAACGGAGGCACACAAAGGCGAGCTTAATTGCCCCAGGTTGAAAGGGTGGTAAGAGTGCTGGCACGGGAGCCCGGATGTGCCTGTTCAAGGACCTGCCTAAAGCTCTCTGGCTGCTGGCTGCAGGGGGCTAAGAATGCTGAAAAGAACAAACACATTCAGCACAAGCACTTTGGAAAACGAAGCCAGGGGCTGGACAGCAAACACTCACCTTGTTAGCATTGGAGGAGATGGTGCTGGCCATAAGCCCCTCCAGGTAACTGCTGAGGCTCACCCCTTTCACCGTGATGATGGCTTCTTGAGTCAAAATGGTTCTGGTACAAAACACATCACAGTTTCAGCCCACCCAATGTCTATTTTTTACAGATACTTGATGGAGAAAATTAAAACACCCATGAAACAAATGTGCTTAACATGTGCGACTTACTTTTCTGGGTCCTGAGGATGTGGTTTGTACACTAGTCTCTCGTCTACAGAAACCATGTTTGTAAACGAAATCTACAGGATGAGGAGAAAAAAGGCTTATCATTCCTGAAACAATGATGCAAATCACTTCCCAAATGAACACACACACAAATCTTTCTAAACACACAAAACTAGAAATAAACTACCTTGCGACTACTCTGAAAGCACCTTAATTTCACTTCCACTATCTGCTTTTTATTCAAATCAATTTCAGAAGGGTGTAATGACAATGTGTGTGGGGTCCTGACTTTGGTTTATTCAGTACTAGACTTGAGGAAGCAGCAGTCAGGCCCAGGAAGTGGATGGGATACACCTCTCCTGTGTAGGTACTGGGTTCCTTCCTTTCTTCCTTCCTTTCCTCCCTTCCATCTCTTCCTTTCCTTACTTCTGTTTTGTCTGTTGTGGGGCTTTAACTAAGGGCCTGGGCATTGTCACCCAGCTTCTTTGCTCAAGGCTAGTGCTCTATCACTTGAGCCACAGAGACACTTCCAGCCTTTTCTGTTTATGTAGTATTGAGGAATCGAACCCAGGGCTTCATGCATGCTAGGCAAGCACTCTACCACTGAGCCATATTCCCAACCCTAGGTACTGGGTTTCTACATTAAGTCTATGCTCATTCACCTTCTATTTAAGGATGAAAAACATAGCCAAACAGTTCAAAATGGAAATAAAAAGAACCAGGGCTTACATTGGTAGACTTGAGCTCCATTGTTTTCTCCACAGGGTCAACTACAGAATGCTCTTGCACGTACGTCTTGGTTCTTGCTGCACCAATAATCTAAGTGAAACATTCAGAATTAGCAGTCAGAGCAGGAAAGTGGGTCAATACTGCATTTGAAGGTACAAATGTGTTATAATTATCTTAATCAAAGATGTCTTACAAAATACAGGAGTAAACAAAGGTCCAGAAAATGACCGAGCAGAGGGCAGCAGGAACCCACACAGCATGGATGACACCAGGCTGCCACATGCCACACACAAAAACCTTTCCCAGAAGCCATTAGGAGTCAAGCCACTGGAGATGTGTGCATGCAATGCATGGTGCGGAAATACGGAAATCGGAAAATGTGGGGAGACATGGCACCCAGAAAACGGAGAACTCAAGAACATGTGGCAGCATGTCAGGCAGTCCTAGGCACAAGGCCTACAAGAACAGCCCTGGCTTCGTGGAGGACGATGCGCCCGTCAGCACCCAGCGTCACTTCCTGGCCTGGCTGGTCCTGCTCCTTTCTGCGCTCCCACTGTCCAATGCCCTGGTCACACAGAGGAGGCCACGTCAGTGCTGAGTGGACCTGTCTCCGCAGAAATCCTCCATGGAACTCTAGGCCATTTGCTCACACTGATGAACTGGCATTCTAGTTTCTTGATGGTTAAAGTGGCTCACCAAAGCCTACTTGTTTGTAACCGAATAGAAGTGTTTCTAAACGCTCAGGAGAATACTACGCATGGTGTAAAGGTAACAGCAGTGAGTCTGGGAACATTCTCCTTATCTTAATGAACCTGGCCTACCGCTGACCAGCAACTGGCACCCAGCAGTGACCGGCAGATGTTACTTCCAGCTCTTGGTACTGGTCTCAAGTTGCTGGCAAAGCAGGGCAAGAATAATTGCTTTTAGACATAGAGCAGGAGCTGGCTTCCTTCAGAAGGTTTTATCGGGTGCCTTCATGAAGACTGTAATAATATTTCCAATTCATTATACGCTCATAACTCAAGTTTATTATAATACAATTTGAACTGATGCAAAAATGACATTCGGAATCGGCTCCCACCACCTATTTGAAAGTATAATGTGGTGTAGAACACGGCTCTACCGCAGTCACATTTCGAGGGGAGTGGGGCCCACTTACAGACTTCACCATGGAAGGCAGCCCCCACTCGGTGCTGAGGAGTCTGTGGCTGTGCAGCTTCCCGGAGGGGTCCACGTGGCGGTCCAGCACATCCACGCCCACGACACTCGGGTTCATGGGGTTGGGGTACTTCTGCATCGCAGCTGTTGTCACGGTTTCCCACGGGTGACTATCAACAAGTGCCAAGAGTCACACGGTTAAAAATACGCATGGGAAGCTGACAATGTCTATAACCCATCAAACAGCTCTTTACAATAGGAACTTAATTACTTTTTACTTAGGGAAAATTACTTTCTGAAACACTGACTGATTTGGGGAGCTCAACCAACATTTGTGTGTGTACTGGTCCTGGGCCTTGAACGCAGGGCCAAGGTGCGGTCCCTGAGCTTCTTTTGCTCAAGGCTAGTGCTGTACCACTTGAGCCACAGTGCCACTTTCAGCTTTTTCTGAGGAGTTTATTGGAGATAAGAGGCTTACAGACTTTCCTGCCTCAGCTGGCTGAGAACCATGATTCTTAAATTGCAGCCTCCTGAGTAGCTAGGATTACAGATGCGAGAGCACTGGTGCCCAGCTCAATCGACATTTTTAATGTGCACAGACTTAAGCATTTTTCCTGCACCAAAATGGATACCTTTCCTATTCACATCATCCACATTCACATGTAACCAAGAGCCACTGCTTCACAAAAACATCCTTGAGAAATGTGTTCTACTGACTGCCAGCAGGCGGGTGTGCCTGTGCTCCTGACTATGCTACCGCAGTGCTGCCAAGTCAGGAAGAGGAAAGGAACTCGCAGGCCCTACCAATTTGTTCAGACATTACAAGAAGACAGCAAGCACTATTGCTTTAATGAAAAAGTCTTGTTAGTTTAAGGCTAACAGAAGCCTGTCCAGTTGACATCCATTGTTCCCAGAGAAATGATTCTTGCTTGTTAAAGTTTGCTCAGCATAATCAAATGTCTTTCTGCTCTCTTCACATACTGGTTTTTAAAATCTCTTAGCACAGTAAGCACTCGCTCACACCTAGGACTGAAGTGCTGACAAGACCACATCACTGGAGAACTTAGAGCAGCCTTCTTTTCTTAAGAAAGCAAAGCCATGTGTTCAAGAGGGCAAGTGTGAGGTCCTTGAGCTCCCTCACCTCTATGGAGGCGTGAGCACGTGAGCTCTCCTCATGCCTATGGATGGAGGCGTGTGCACACGTGAGCTCTCCTCACCTCTGTGGATGGAGGCATGTGCACACGTGAGCTCTCCTCACCTCTGTGGATGGAGGCATGTGCACACGTGAGCTCTCCTCACCTCTGTGGATGGAGACGTGTGCACACGTGAGCTCTCCTCACCTCTGTGGATGGAGGCATGTGCACACGTGAGCTCTCCTCACCTCTGTGGATGGAGGCATGTGCACACGTGAGCTCTGCTCATCTCTATGGATATAGGCGTGTGCACACGTGAGCTCTCCTCATACCTATGGATGTAGGCGTGTGCACATGTGAGCTCTCCTCACCTCTGTGGATAGAGGCGTGTGCACACGTGAGCTCTCCTCACCTCTATGGAGGCGTGAACACGTGAGCTCTCCTCACCTCTGTAGATATAGGTGTGTGCACACGTGAGCTCTCCTCACCTCTATGGATATAGGTGTGTGCACACGTGAGCTCTCCTCACCTCTGTAGATATAGGCGTGTGCACACGAGCTCTCCTCACCTCTATGGATATAGGTGTGTGCACACAAGCTCTCCTCACCTCTATGGATATAGGTGTGTGCACACATGAGCTCTCCTCACCTCTGTAGAAGAGGCGTGTGCACACGTGAGCTCTCCTCAGCTCTATGGATATAGGTGTGTGCATACATGAGCTCTCCTCACCTCTGTGGATGGAGGTGTGTGCACACGTGAGCTCTCCTCACCTCTATGGATATAGGTGTGTGCACACGTGAGCTCTCCTCACTTCTGTGGATGGAGGCGTGTGCACACGTGAGCTCTTCTCACCTCTGTGGATGGAGACGTGTGCACACGTGAGCTCCTCACCTCTGTAGAAGAGGCGTGTGCACACGTGAGCTCTCCTCACCTCTATGGATGGAGGCGTGTACACACGTGAGCTCTCCTCACCTCTGTGGATGGAGACATGGGCAAAAGACCTGTGAGCACAGCATGACAGGTGCTCAATCCACCTACAATATGACCCTGTCCCTTCTACTCTATTGAACTATGCTCTTGCCTTCATCTACAAGGAAGATAGGACCTGAGAAGATGTTTCCAGCTTTATCAGTTGATACAAATCTCACAGCTCACAGGTTTTTTTTCTAAAAGCAAAACAAGAAGGCATTAATCTATTTCAACTTCTCAGAGAACTCAGACTGACAACTACATCTTGTCAACAGAAGAAAAATCTCAACTCCATTAACTTCTCAGAGCCCTAAACAGGCAGTGACATGATTCTGAATGTCGTCTTCATTTTCTCTACAATATTATATAAATGAACCTCTGGTTTTAATCTCAACCTTATTCAGCAATCAGTGCAGGTGTGTGGGTGGAACAGCTTCATAAATCTAAACAATCCCCACAAATAGAAGTGATACAGACCAAACACTCTGATTGTTACCAGGGCAACTGTGTAAAATGAAAACCCAACCAACCCTTCCCAATCTATGTAGTCACAGGGTGTGGCCTCTGGCCTCTGCCGGTCTCTTTCTTCATTCTCTAACAAATCCGCATGAGTAGTTATGCACTGTTTGACAACATGGACTCTGCTTCATGGAGCTTGCTCTGTGAACATGAGGAGCTCAAAAGCTTCAAGTGATGCCTACTACGACTACAACCGTGCTCTCCAAGTAACTACTTTTAAATGCGCTAATGTAATTAATGCAAAAAGATCTGCCACCAGAAGTCATTCAACACCATACCAAAGGATCTGTCTGAGGCTTACTGACCTGTCCAGTTTCCTCCCCTATCAAATGAGTGGGGGACACTGTTCACACCATTGAGGTAGCAAGAGGATCTGGACTTAGTTAAAAAGTAAGCCGTCTGAATCCCAGGGCCCAGCATCCACTGCACTGATGCCCGTGGAAGGAATCAACACTGACTTCAACTGATGGCCAACCACAGGTGTGGCCTCAAGAGGAAGTGCTAGAAAATCAAAGCGGGGTGGGACGCAATAGTGACTCAGCTGCTGCTGGGGAGCAGTGTCCTGACGTGGGAAGCTGGGAGAGGAGGCCCTGGGAGAAGGCACTCTTCACAGATGTGAAGCTTCAGGGATGCAGGTGGGCCTGGAAACCCTCTGCCTTTGCACATATGGGAACTGAGGTCAGGTGTTCAGGTAGCCCCTGAATAAGGCTCTGAAGTGCAAGAGATCGGAGCTCAGGGCACAGTTCTGGATGCCAGCAATGTATGTCAGATGGGACTCTGCTTTCACAGTCCAGACTATTGGGAGACCTGGGTTCCTTTCCAGGGGTGAGGAGCACTAATGTAAGTATGCCCATCTCTTCATCAAAGATCTGGGGCACAGAGATCAAGATCCTTGATGAAATGTGATGTAGGAAGCCCAATAAGCAATTAAAGATGTACACGGAGGGTTAGGAGAGAAGAGGCAGAACAATTGGGAAGGGAGTGAAGTGGGTTAGAGAAGCCCAGGGAGTTCTAAGAACAGGACATCTTGTGAAGCAACCAAACCTGGAAGAGGCCTGAGGACAGTATCCCTGTGCTGAACCAGCAAGTGAACGATGTGACCAGGTTAGAAAACACCAGAAAGATTGATTTAGGGTCTCTCTTCAATCCCAGACAGTTATAAGCAAAACTTGCTTCTGGTTCTCACACTCATGTTCTTTCTAGCAGGCCCTCAGTGTGGTCTACTATGGAAAAAAAATGTTGATAACTTGGGGGAGGGGTGTTGAACTCAGGGACTTGTGCTTTTGCTTCGCTTTTTCACTCAAGGTGGGTGCTCTGCCACTTGAGCCATAACTTCATTTCCAGCCTTTTGTGGTTAATTGGAGATAAGACTTTTCTGTCCAGGCTGGCTTCAAATCTCCATCCTCAGATCTCCGCTTCCTGAATAGCTAGGATTACGCGTGTGAGACACAAATGACTGGTGACAACTCTTGAAATTGTCCCCAGAAACACATTTTAAAACTCAAAACTTCTGAACTAAAACATACTACAAGGCCGTAAGAACTCAAACAGTACGGCAACATTAACAAGATGACTGGAAAGAGCACAAGTTCCTCAAACGTAAACCACAGCCGTGTTTATGAGCAAGTGGTTTTTCATTTCAGAGAAGATTTATCAAAAAAGAATCCTGGAACAAAGAGGCAACCACTTCGTGGGATCAAAAAAAGATTCAGCTGCTACGCCTACGGTTCTTCCGCATGGGAAACCGTGGGTCTCCAAGACACAGTTTGATTGCCAACATCTCCACCGGCTTAAGGTCTGTGTCCATTACCACAACGAAGGTGTCGTGGAGCTGTGGCCAGAGACCTCTCACGGAGAGGCCCTGACCGTCTCCCAGCTCTGAGAAGAGCAGGAAACCAAGGTCACAGGCTGCGGGGCCAGCGTGGAGCCCCGGGGGCCAGGCGCGTGTCCGCCCTCGGGTCAAGCCGACAAGCGTCCATCCTGATTGATGGGTGGGGGGCCCGGCCCGCCGCAAACCCGGGTTCCAACAAGGTCCTTCCTCGGGGGAGACGCCGCGCCCGGCCGGGAGGCCCCGGGCGACCCCCCGCGCCCGGCCGGGAGGCCCCGGGGCGCGGCCCCAGCAGCACCAGCCAGACCGGAAGTGTCCACCGCAGTTTCCGCCTAGGACCGCGTGCTCCGCGACGCCCCTCGACCCCCGAGGGGGCGGGGCCTCCCGTCGGACCGGCTCAATGGTCGGGTCGCGGGGTCGTGACCTTGGCCCGCCCCCGGGGGGGGGGGCCGCGGGCTCGGCCCGGCCCTTCTCCCCGGGCCGACGCCGGGAACTCCCCAAAGGTGCCCACACTTACTCAAAGACATGCTCCGAAGTCCAGATCTTCATGGTGCCGAAGGCCTGAGCGACGTCCGGCGGCGCTAGGGGACAGCGAGGCGCGGAAGTACGCCTGCCCCGCCCCCTTGCCGGCTGCGCAGCGCGCAGGCGCCGTCGGACTCGGCGCGAGGACGTCCCGACGTGTGGCCTCCACGCCCTGTCCCGGCCCAGCTCGGAGCCGGCCCCGCCCCTCGGCGCAGACAAGCCACGCCCCCTAGCGCGGCGCAACTAAACTTCGTCTCCCGCGCGTGGCGCAACCGAGCCCCGCCCCTCGCGCGCGGCGCAGCGAGGCCACGCCCCTCGCGCTGGCGCCCCGCCCCGGCGCGGCTCTGGGGTTGCGCTGCGCAGGCGCGGGGCGTCTGGGCGGCCCCGGCGTTGCCCTCTAGGACCGCCGACCTGGGTGGCCTCGGTGGGGTTCTCCCGAGCACATTTTCCTTGGCGTCTTGCTAGAAAGTTCCTCCCCCCTCCTGTCTCAATCCAGGTCAGCCAAGTCACTGGCCAGGTGTGTGCCCCAGAGATGGTGACCCTGGTTGCCGACCCAGGGCACGGAGTCCCCGGCCGCGCCGTGTGGCCCCGACGGCCCGGCCTCCCTCCGGCCCCGGCCTCCCTCCGGCCCCGGCCTCCCTCCGGCCCCGGCCTCCTCCCCTCTGGCCCAGGTCCTGCCAAGGCCCGGGTCGCCTGCGTGTCCCCGTCGTTCCGGTCGTGGCTCTCGACGCTCGTGTACGGCGAGGCCCACGGTCCCGGAGAGCGGGGCGGCCGGCGCCACCTCCGGCCCCCTGCTCGCCCTCGCCCGACGGGGCTCCGCGGGCCGGGCCCCTGCCCATGGTCCCCTGGGCCCGGGAGGCACCGGGGGCTGTACTCGGAGGAGTCTCGCCCCGTAGACAAAGGGCCCGACACAGCTTCAGGGTCGGGCTCCGCGCCCCGCCCCCTCTTCCCCCAACCTCACACCATCAGTTTGTCACTCCATGGTTATGGATGGAGGAAAATCTCCACATCCTGTTACTTAGAAGTATTACCTCATGTTCATTCTCAGCTTGCTTGAATGTTAAAAACCAAGAAGGAGGATTAAAAAGAATAGCCAAAGTCCTCTATATGGAAAAAAATCCACAAAAAATTGGACAGGAAGGAAACAGTATGGTTAGGGAGTCGATAAGTGCCATTTGTGGTACGTTGCATGTGTGTTTTTAAAGAATGCCCACCGTCCATGGAGTGAAGTAAAGCTTTAAGGGTTGCAGAGGGTGCCTTAACCTTGATTAAGATGCCAGGTTAACGTTCCTGGTGTTGAACACACTGATGAGGAGCCATCAGCACAGAACAGCCTGTCCCTGCTATTCCTGGAGCTCTGTGCTTGCTCACTGTCCAGCATTCTTAACTCTTTATTTTAGAGAATGTGATTCTGCCCCCTAGTTCAAGATGTCTGTGCTTGAAAGTCATGCAGCTGACACCTGTTCGCCTTTCTCAGTGCACAACCAGATCCCTGTGAGTGGAGTTCTACCTCTGGAGTGACAGATCCTGATTGCTTGAAAGGACAGCAGGTCTCAGTTGCGTTTGGAGAGCAGAGCTTTTGTAGGGATTGTCGCTGGGAGCTCTACCTGAGACCCAGAGGAAGTGAGTGGGTGGTCTCTACAGCCTTGGGCACTGGGTTACTCAGGGTGCCTCTCAAAGAAAAAGAGAAATCATAGCAGGTCATTAACTTGGTTTGAAATTAGGTAACTGGCTGTTAAGACTCTGACACAGTAATGGAGCCTGCCCACCTTCCTTCCCCTCCCAACTTTCTGGGCATTCTTTCTGGTTGAGATCCTGCCCAAGCTCTGTTTCTGGAAGGAAGAATGTCCCATATCCTCTCCTACTAGGGAGCAGAAACTCCAGAGTATTTCAAAGGAGGGCATGTGTCCCAGAGTCCAGAAAACCAGAGCTATGGAAGATGGAGGGTGGGGCCTCTTCCTGGCCCATAGAGGAGGAGGGGGTGGGGGTAGGGTAAGAACTGGGGAAGGGGGTGTCAGGCCTGGGTTGGTATTTGAAGAAGAACCAGTGTGAGGTTCCATGTTAGCAGGTCACAGAGCTAGGCCCAGCAGGTGAAACTGGTGCTGCCATGGCTCCTTTGATTTCTAAACTTGACTTGTTAACTCCATTTTTATCCTTGTTTACCATTATTACTTGACTTAACATTTCTGTTTTGTATCTGTGTGGTATAGAATCATCCACCTACTTATCCATGGTTTTGCTTTCTACTTTCAGCTGTCTGTGCTCAGCTGAGCTCTGAAAATCTTAAACAGCAATTTTTAAATTTTAATTTCTTTTAAATTTTACTTAAATTTTTTATTAGTTGTGGGGCTGAGCTGCTTTGCTCAAGGCTAACTCTCTACCACTTTGAGGCAGAGTTCCACTTCCTCAATATTCTTGATAATAAACTTGAAAATGTTTCTTGAATTCTGCGAGGCATCCTAACCAGTCATTAAACACAGGGGTCTGGCGAGGATCCCCATTCACAGCTCAAGTCAACAGTGCAATCACCACCTGGATTTTCCCTCTGTGTGTGGTGGGGTGCGGGCCTCCAGGGACTAAGCCCCTGAGCCCGTGGGATCTGACTCTGCAGGTGCAGCATCTGCGTGGTGGCACCCCTCTGGGAGCTGTTTGGTCAGGGAGACCCCCACACACATTTGTTCTGAGAGGTGTGTTTGTGTTGCAGTGAACATTGTAGAAGAAAAAAATCTTTTTTTTTTTTTTTTTGGTCAGAATTAGCTTCTTCACAAATACACTCTACATACAACTTGCTATTGCTGCTGTACTGGAGGAGGGGCTTCTCCCTCCTCCAATACATGCTAAATCTACTAATTCTTAAAAGACAACTGTAAGTCCTAAGGACTCCCCAAAGTCTGCTCATTGATGCCAGAGGTGAGGTTGTCTGTGCAATAGGAATTAGACACAGCAATTGTAATCTAAGGTTTTAAAAAGTATACATAAGTACACATACATTGCCATGGATATACATATATGTGCATATTCAGTAATTACATGTTACTCATAAGTTACATATGTTTTGTTCAAGCACAGCACAATAAGTTAATAAATCAAATGGAATTTCAAAAGGAGATCTTAAAGCTGGTTTTAGTGGCCCATGCCTATAATCCTACTTACTCAGCAGGCTGGATCTGAGGCTTACAGTTTGAGGCCAGCCTAGGCAGAAAAATCTGAGGTGCTTATCTCCAATTAATCAGAAAGCTGAAAGTAAAGGCATGACTCAAGTGGTAGAGCACCAGCCTTGAGCAGACATGGCCGAGTGACAGTGTGAGGTCTTGACTTCAAGCCCCAGTACTGGTGCACTTCATGCATGTGCACGTGCGTGTATGCACATGCACGCACAAACACACGCATTAAAGTTCCTGCACATACATTTTACAGCTCAGCTGATATTGAGAAGCTCTTAATTCTGTATTATCATCAGTTGTGTTTAAATTACTGTGTTATCTGCGGATTATTTCTTTGCCTTTCATTTTGTGAAAAATCCACGTCCCAAATGGCAAATGGAACCCCAAACACAAAGTAAAGGCTAATGTGCTTAGTTTAAGTGGCAGAGTGAAGATTTCAGACATATTGAAAGGCAAGGTCTGCAGTGAAAGTTCGGCAGTGGGAAAAACCAATCATGCGTCCTGCACATGGGCAGGGCCATGCCCCCTGGATATCAAGGGTCTATTTTAGAAGCTTACTGTCATTATTATTATTATTATTATTATTATTATTATTATTATTGTTGGTCGTGGGGCTTGAACTCTGGGCCTGGGTGCTGTCCCTCAGCTCTTCAGCTCAAGGCTAGCACTCTATGACTTGAGCTACAGCACCACTTCCAATTTTCTGGTGGTTTGTTGGAGATAAGAGTTTCATGGAAGCTGGGCACCGATGGCTCATGCCTGTAATCCTAGCTACCCAGGAGGCTGAGATCGATCTGAGGATCATGGTTCAAAGCCAGCCCAGGCAGAAAAGTCCGTGAGACTCTGATCTCCAATAAACCACTAGAAAACTGGAAGTGGCGCTGTGGCTCAAGAGGTAGAGCGCTTGCCTTGAGCTGAAGAGTGCAGGGGCAGTGCCCCAGCCCAGAGTTCAAGCCCCATGACCGACAAAAAAAAAAAGAAAAGAAGAGTTTCATGGACTTTCCTGCCCAGGCTGGCTTTGAACCACGATATATATTTGCCTGTCTGGCTTGGGGCTTGAACTCAGGGCCTGGAAGCTGTCTCTGAGCCTCTTTGTGCTCAAGGCTAGCATTCCATCACTTGAGCTACAATGCCCCTTCCAGCCTTTTCTGAGTAGTTTATTGGAGATGAGAGTCTTAAGGACTTCCCTGCCCTGGCTGGCTTTGACCCACAATCCTCAGATCATAGGCTCCTGAGTTGCTAGGATTACAGGAGTGAGCCACCGGTGCCCAGCTACATTAAATAGATATAGATACAGATATAGATATATTTGCCCACCCTTCCTCTTTTCATTTTTCTGCCATCTTCTCTTGACCCACCCCAAGAAAACCATGTGCCAGCTTCTTGGTTAAACTGTTTGCTAATTGAATATCTCATTTTTCAGGATAAAGTCAGATAAAGCTGCACTTGGTGTTACTTTTTTTTTTGTCAGTTGTGGGGCTTGAACTCTGGGCCTAGGCGCTGTCCCTCAGCAATTCAGCTCAAGGCTAGTGCTCTACCACTTGAGCCACATCGCCACTTCCGGTTTTCTGGTGGTTTATCGGAGATCAGAGTCACAGGGACTTTCCTGTCCAGGCTGGCTTTTGGTGTTACTTTTATGTGGATTCAGTTGTAGTGGACTCTGGGTACCACATTAGAAATGAGGCTTTCTGAAACTCTAAACATTGACTATATGTGAAGGTCAGGTCAGGGCAAGGTGTAGGAAGTACGTAGGCTGAGAGTGGTACAGGTAGAGAGGGAAGGAGGGTGTCAGTTTTAGGAAAGCCTGGGATCCCTCTTACCTCTTTTTGCCTTGTGGCCCTTGTAACCTTCTCGCAATGGAGTTTCATAGACTGTGTTAGCCACTGAGCGAGCCAAGAGAAGCAACCAGCGCAACTCAAGCTGAGGCCACACGTCCACTGGCTTTCCTACTTGGGGAGTTCAGACTGAAAGTAAGGAGGCCCAGAGTTCCCTGCCTGTGGGTGACCCATCACCGATCTCCGTTTTGAGTGTCTCACATTACTTCTAATTGAAGAAGAATCTAGAGCCAAATTCAATTTAGTTCCATTAGTGATTGAAGGATTCAAGGAACTGTCCAGAATTGCCTATCAATATTAGTTTTCTTTCCCCTCTGCTTCTGTTTATCCCAATGTCTAACTAACTTATTCCTAAATTCCTGTCATAAGAAATGAATCTCTCCTCCTGAGACTGTCTTGGCTATTTTAATAATTCCTCATCCTGAGAAATGAAGGATCATTTCTTAAACTAACTTGATTTTCCTTATTAGCAGCCTTCCATAACTAGGTCACCTATAGCAAAAATTTGCTTTACTTTTTATGCTAAAAGCTTTTTACCATCAAAAGACTTACATACAAACAGAGACATGAAACTTGGCTAGAAGATAATAAAAGTGAAAATGAAAGTGTCATGGCTGCACGTGGGCATGAAGGAGCATCTCAGAATCCTCTGTTTTGCATTCCTTTAGTTGATACAGTATTGCTTGGTGCCTGTTCTAACACCAAGAGACCGGGAGGTGAGAGGCAGCTCACCGCCAGTAGCCAAATGCCTGAAACCCCTCTCAGCAAGATTCAGAGGAGGGGGATGGAGCAGGGCTTTCATCTTTTCTATCCCTTACAGAGAATGTTCTGGGTTGAACTGCCACCTGCTATTTGGGGCCGTGGCCCCATCATGGGCCAAGTGCATCTTTCATGTCATCAAGGTGGAGAGGTAGCAGGTTGTGAGCCAAGGCTCATCCTCTCTGTGAGAAGCATAATTAAGTTTACGAAAGAGGACAGAAGCATGGCTCTTTTCTCTGAGCTTGGCAGGTCCTTCCATTTGGCTGCAGGCAAACTACTTCTTTGCCAAAGCAGAGGGACCGATCTAGAAACTGAAGTAGGCCTTGCAGAGTGGGGAGGAGCTCCTCTTCTAAGTTACTCATGTCTACGGGGACCTTGGAAGTAGGGATATAGGCAGCAGCCCATTGGCCAAGGACAGATTCAAGCAGTTGCTTTTCATATGGTCGGTTCTTGCTTACCTTTACTTGTGACTTGGCAGGTGTTAACAGTTCAATGGCCGACAGCATGAACACCCAGGGAGAAAACAATTATGACCACAATCCACTTCCTGAAAGCAGTGCAGTTGACTAGGGTCAAAGGATCAAACTCTTACCTCCCTCTTTCAGTTCTCTGGGACCAACCCATTTGGTAAGGAGGGCCTGGGAGCTGATGCCAGTGGCTCATGCCTGTAATCCTAGCTACTCAGGAGGCTAAGATCTGAGGACTACAATTTGAAGCCAGCCTGGGCAGACTCTTACTTCCAATAAACTATTCAGAAAAAGCTGGAAGTAGTGCTGTGGTTCAAGTGGTAGCGCATTAGCCTTGAGCAAAAGAAGCACAAGGATACCACTCAGGCCCTGAGTTCAAGCCCCAGGACACTCTCTCTCTCTCTCTCTCTCTCTCTCTCTCACACACACACACACACACACACACACGTGGACAAAGACACACAGACACACACAGACACACACATACACATAATGAAGGACTGGGAAGCAGTCTGGGACTAATACCTTATATTTCTCCAAAGAGTCTCTGGGCACCCTGTCTAACCTCTCCTTTGCCAGTGTGACATACTGTAAAGGAGGGATGTAAGGGACCATTCCTGTCTTCCAGCTTGAAAACAGGCAAAGAGATGCACGCAAGGCTTTTCACCCCTCGTTGAAGATTCTGGAAGCACACTGCTTGGGTGATGCACCTTCCTGGTTTCCAGGTTCTCAAGGGCAAGGCTGGCAAGAGCAGAGCACAGTTGTTTAAAATCAGAATGTGACCTGCTGGGAGCCCTATTCATTTAGTAAGAAGGTGTGTGTATGTGTGTGGGGGGCAATATTCTGAACACAAGCAGCATTGGGGTACGTGCTGGCAGGATTTGGGGGCAGTCAGAGTTCGGCTTCTCGTGGTCTTCTGGAGAGACCCCTTCTGCAGAAGTGTGACATGTATTGTTTGAAGGATGATACAAAAAAGAAGCATGTTAGGGTGGAAGAATGGAAGGGAAGCAGCTGCTGTCATGAATCATCCTTGGAGGATGGGTGTGGCCCCGTAAGGAATGTATTAATGTATCCTGGAGGAGTGCACTAGTCCCCAAAGGTGGTCTGCTGTGGCCGAGCTGTGTGACACCTTGGGAGGAGAAGAAACACCCCAAGAGGAAGAGCTGGTGTCTTTTCCCAGGTGGTGGGGGTGGTCAGCATGCATGTGGAGAGCCTCCTCTAATGTATGCTGTGGCCAAGGCCACTTGTCACTTCTTGGAGTGAGGGAAGGGGACTAGGGAGACAGTAGCATTCAAAGGCATGGGCCAGTAACGGACTTCCTCTAGCAAGGTCCTATCTTTCAAGGTCCTCAGAACCTCCCCCCTAACAATGCCACCCACACAGGAAACAAATGTTCAAAACCTGAGCCCGTTGGGGACATTTCATGTTCAAACCATAACTCTCCCCAAACCAACTACACCAGTATGTGTGTGTCTTAACCTATGGAAAGAAAGGGCTGCTGATTGACCATTGCACGCTCCAGCATCGCGCTAGACATCTGCCAAAAGAGATGTTAACAAAGTAGAAAGGGAAGTGGTCACATCTGAGACCACTGCACAGGATTAGAGGGTACCAGAGGCCTGTGAGGCCTCAGGCGTGATGAAGCAGCGTGTGGAGGAAGCTGTCTCTATTGTCTGTTCACATATCTACCCAGTGGTCACCATCCTAGCAACGAGTCAGCACTCAGGAAGCATTTGTGAAGGGACTGAAGGAATCAATACAACACAAGCCAAGCTAGGCGTGGTGGCGTGTGCTTGCAGTCCCAGCTAGTTGGGAGGCAGAGATTGAGAGAACTGTGGTTTGAGGCTACTCAGGGCATAAATGTAGTGAGCCTCCATTTTAATAAATAGGTATGGTGTGATAATACTTGTCATCTAGCTACATGGTTGTACCTCATAGTTCAGGCCAGTCTGTTAAAAAAAATGCAAGACCCTACCTGAAAAAGAACCAAAGTGAAAAGGATAGGGGTATGGCTCAAGTGGTAGAGTGCCTACCTAGCAGTTATGAGGCCCTGGGTTCAAATCATAGCACCACACACACACAAAAGGTAGGAAGGAAAGAAAGAGGAAGGAAGGAAGAAAGGAAGGAAGGAGGATGTAAGGCATACAGCAGGCCTCATTAGGCCAACAAGAATGTGAACAGTTGATGAACTTAGATAGGTAACAGAATTTTGAACATGTAAGGCCTAACATGAAGGACTGTGAACCAGAAAGAACTCAAGGGCACAGGTGAAACTTGGCAAGTGCTCAGATCTGAGCAGTGTCCCCAGCCTGGGTCTCAGGACCATGTCTAGGGAGATGAAAGCAAAGGCAAGCAGGGCCATGCCTGCAGCTCACAGTGCCTTCATTTGAGAGAACAGCTGTTTGCTTGGGCCCAGGGCAAAGGGGGAAGAAAAATGTTGAGCCATATGTTCTGACTAAATCAGTGCGTGGCCCTATTAGAAAAAGTGTCTAAATGATTGATTAGGGAATAACCAGCCAGCCCTTGCCTAGTGCTTTACTTGTGTGTTGCGAGTTTGTTTAATGTCAGAATGTACTAAAATCCTCTCTGCTCCTTCTATTTCCATTTTTCATCAAAGAAATATTTGACAAATGCATGTACCGTATCCATTAGGGAAGAAAGTAAAGAAAGAAATTTTCTTTGAGCTGGAGCTGCTCAGTAAAACCTACACTTTACCAGGAAGCATTTCCTTTTATGGATTGTGTGTTGCCTTTAACAGTGATAAGAATGTTTATGACTGGCCTGACTCTCGTTTGACCTTTCTTCCAAGGACTTCAGACACAAGCAATTGGGGAAACAGAGAAAGCAGAACCCATGTGTTCAGAATCTGTGGAAAACAGATTCTGTTAGGAAACACACCTACAATGTGTTTCCTAAGTATAATAATATAGAAAAAGTCTGTCTCAGGAAGTGAGGTATGTAGTTTCTCATGTCTTCAAATGGCATAAATAGAGTTCAGAATAAAGTGAGACCCAAATTGCTGTCTGCCTATCTGTCTGTCTGTCTATCTATCTATCTATCCATCCATCCATCTTATCAATCATATAGTTATGTGGCTATGTTTCTGCCATCTCTCTATCTTTATGTATTCATGTATACACGTATGTATGTATGTGTCTGTCTATCTATCTATCTATCTAAAATCTATCTATCTATCTAAGTACCAGGGCTTGAACTCAGAGCCTTACATTCACTCTCACTTGGCTTGCCTCCCAGCTGGTGCTCTACCACTTACACTATACCTCCAGACTTGCCTTTTGCTGGTTATTTTGGAGATAGAGTCTTACTAACTTTTCTACCTAGTCTGGCTTTGAACTGTGATCCTCTGATCTCAGCCTTCTGAAGAGCTAACAGATTTGAGCTCCTGGCACCTGGCTTTAAATAGCTTTTTAAATTTACATCAACTAGTTAGTACCTTCACCAAACATACATTTAAGTTTTTGCATTTTTCATACAATAAATGAGCACATAGTATTGGTTGCATATTTACTTAAATTGTACTCGGATAAGTTTTAAATTGTACTCTTTTAAGTTTTATTCAAAAATGAGTTGAAAAACACAAAATAATGCCTTGTGTCAAAACCAACAATAACCACCTATGAACAGTAGAGAAAAAAAATCCATTCAAAATAATTCAAGATATGAAATATCCAGGAGGAAAACCTTAAGAAACATAGAGGGCCAAGAGAAAGGGAATCATGAACACTTTCTAAAGCTCAGGGAACTTGAATACAAGGAGGCATGAGCTACTCTGGGCAGGAAGATGGAATGTTCTGATGACGTTGTCCATTCTCCTTAAAGAATTTAATGAAATTCCAATCAAAGTTCTTGTAGGACATTCTGGGAACCTGCCAGTGATTCTAATGCTCATTTGGAAGGAGACAGAGGTGAAGATCACGAAGAAATTTTTGAAAAGACAAAGAGGAGAATCAGAACTACCAGATAGTGCAACATCTAATGTAGTCACAGTAGCTTAAGTTGTGTGACACTGAGCAAAACATAGCAAAAAAAAATGAATAACTTAAAATTCAATCTTAGTGTGGTGCTTGATTGCGTCAGCGTTTTAGATTGAAGGGGAAAGGGTGGATTGGTAGCTAAATGTATTGGGACAATCAGTTAAGTATTTGAAAAAAACAGTAGGCTGGATTATCTCAAGTGCCCTGTCCATCAACCCTGGAGGAAGGACCTAAACAGATAAATATTGGAAGTCTAGATGTCCATACAGATTCAATTGTATAAGTCAGAATGACTCCCAAAAGCATTGAAAACAATGTTAAAAGGAAACTATAGTATGAAAATTCTTATCACAAATAAATGTTAATTTTCTTTTTAAATTTTTTTTCTTTTTTTGAGAGGTCGAATTTTGGAGTCTTTATTTGAGTGCTAGCAGACAGCAGATGGCCAATTATAAAGATCTGCAGCCCTGAAAAATGTTCTTTTCTTATTATTATAAAGCTGATGTACAGAGAAATTACAGTTACATAAGTCAGGTAATGAGTATATTTCTTTTTGGACAAGTCACCCCTTCCCTCACTCTCTCCCAGCTTTTATAACAAATAAATGTTAATTTTCTTAATATATTAAATAGATCAATATATTTCAATGCACTAAAAACTTGCATTGAACCATTAAAGACCTACTAATACTCTTTAGAAACTGAAAGCATCACAGACTATTGGTAAAAAAAGTGACAATAGATAAAAAGATGAATAAATGTGGGAAAAATTGTTACACTGACAAGCCACCAGTGTGACTTAAAATAGCATTCAATTTTTGGAGTATCAATCAGATGGAAATACAGCTCTTAGTCAAAGTTGGTGCATGTGAAGTGAAGTAAGTACTTCTGTGCCCTTTATTGAAATTTGGAATTGGTTCAGACTTTCTGGAGGGCAGTTTGTATCTCTGCAGAGTCCCAAACATTCTGCTATGTTCTTGTGATTCCCAGTGCAGACACCTCTCAAATGAAATATTCAGAAATTTGGACCCAGAATTATCTATAATGATGTAAAAGTTAAGAAAATCTTTGATGTCCAAAAAGTAATCCATGAGTTGCATTTTTGGGCAGATGTGGTATTTTACAGATGTGGTATTTCACGGGGAAGAGGGGGGAGGGGGCCTAGGGAGAATGAAGAATCTGGGGCAGGAGTTATGTGGAAGAGCACTGAAGGCTGATTGGGGCACAGTGGTGGACTCTGGCGCCATATTGCTGGGCAACCAGGGGGAACAGAAGAGCAGAGGCCCGCACTGCTGTGGAGTCCTGTGGAGGCGTGACTGCCTTGGGAGGATTTAAGATGGAGGTCCATTGTCTTGGCATCCTTGTCTCCTCCCAAGTTCCTATTTGGTGCCAGACAAATGTGCTAGATCATTAACAAATACGTTTCTTTCTGATGTTGAGTGGCTTTGGGATCCATGGAATCCAATTGTGCTGTTACTCTACTGCTAATGAAGGTCCAACAAAGTGTGTTGGACAGGTAGTTAATCAAGATTCTTCCTAAGTAACTTGGTTGATGATTTTTATGGTATGCATTACATGATATTTTAAACCAGCTTTATTTGGACTTCAGTCAGTAGGGGGTGCACCGACGCTGGAAATTCTAATATTGATGAAGAACAATACTTATTTATTAAGCGTAGGGTCCTTCATCCTGATTACCGTCCGTCAGCCTTGTGTTTCTCTCCCTAGCCCTCTCCTCCCACCATTTTCTGTTTCCATGACCACATACTATACGTTGTAAAACTGAGTTTTAATAAGAGTTAATCCAACATTGCTACTGGTGATAGTTGCTAAGA